TGACAAGGAGGAATATATGACTGACTAATTACGATTGACAAAATGACAAAATCAGCGTTTAAGCGAGCCGTGGGAGGAAGTTTTCTGAGCGAAATGGAACTGATTATTATGGCAATCATCGGAATTGAAGCTATCTTGAATTCCCGACCGTTAGCATAAATGATGCAAGTCTTTTGTCCTATTGATTTCATAAATCCTTTGGCTAAATTTGGCGATTCATTCCGAGAAAAGAAATCTGATAATGAAAATTATGGTATAAGTGGAAGCTGTCGTGACAGTTGAAAGAAAAGAAGGAAAGGAGATTGTTATTGTTCGTTGTAAAAGCAGTTATATTTTAAAGGAATGACTTACAGTGTACCGGTTCGTTGTGTGTTCGAAACGTACAACAGATTATCTTTCTCTACAGTATGCCCATCCATGTTTATAAGATTCGTTGTCATCCAGATGTGCGCAAATCTCAGCATTAGACAAAGCTCCTTTAGACGATTTAAAGATTGGATAGCTGACTCATCATGACCTTAGACATGAGAGAGAAAAAGCAAATGTAAATGCAAACTATTTGAATGAATAATTTCATGATACAACTATTTCAGTTTTTACGACAGAAGCTTGACAGAAGAAAAATTGAAGAGACAATTTCAGAAAATGGATCGAAATTTAGACTAATTTTGAAATGGTAGCAAATAAATTATCTTTTTAGTTTAAAAGAACGATGACAAGTGCAATGCTAGCAGGGACGGAATTTAACTAACTGAAATTAATGAAGCAATAAGTGTAATGAAGGAAGAACAACCAAGAAGAATTTGGAAGTTAGGAATCATTGAAGAATTGAAACCAGGTAGAGAAGAAGGAACAATTTGAAATGCAATAGTACGGCTCCCCAACAACCGCAAATTAATCTGGCCGATAAATTTCTTGAGCGCTCTGGAAATTGGAGGTTAAAACAAAGAGGAAAGAAATATCGACCAAACAAAACGTGGAACTCAAAAGAACGTAAGCGAAAGAAAGTTGATAAGACCTCATTCGCCGATAATGACTAGGAACAAAACAAAGGTCAATGCTTCTTCAATATTGAAAGCAAACAAGATCCTGTTCTTTATCCTAAGCTTATTGTACTTGGTATTTTCTGGACTAGTTATGGTGGACAATAGAATAAAATATCAATTGCTCAATGGAAGTCTTGCATGTTCTCTCCTACATAGTATATTATGGTTGGGAAAGGAAAAGCCTAGAAGAAATCGAATAAATGTCAAAATTTTTACTCCAATTCAAAATTGATCGAATTCGAAACACCTCCGAAATAAATTGTGTGATTTACCAACGAAACAGCACAAATCAACTCAATTCAAGTCACATTATTTCACTATCAGGAATGTTGCAAATAAACGTGAAGAAATTTTGTGATAAAAGAAAATATGAAGATTCATAAATGAATGTGTTAGTGATGCACTAATTTGTAGTTAAGATGTTGTAAATCAACTCATACTAATATCAAATGATCGACTACTTAACGAATGAAAAGCGAATGGTTGAGATACTATCAACAGATAAGTCAAGTGGTTTCAAAGTTCATTGGAAACAACCGGACATACTTATCCGAGCGAATTACTTTTTCAAATTCATTCAGTTGGGAAAAGGCCAACAATCAAGGTGTGGATTTTCTCTACTGCACACCAAAGTCGGCAGTATGACAGTTGTATATGGAGATAAGAATGAACTTTGTGCAGTCAATGCCTTATGTTGTTTAAGGAGCATGAAATGCATGACTAACATGCAGAATGAATACGACATGCGACGAT